CAGCTGAGGCTCGCCCCGTGTCAGCCCTTGACGGGAGGAAATCGAAGTCTGCTCCTTGCTGGCGGCTTTCCGGCAGCAGCTTGGCCCCCTCACGCCCCTTCTTGCCACTGGATGGGCTCAGAGATGGGCTCCCTTCCCCCAGCCCATGCAGCACACGTGGCCACATCAGAGGACCTCCACCCCACCCTTCCGTGGGTCCCTGCTGCCCCCCCCCCAGCTGTGCCGCCTCCGCCTGCCCGGCCTCACTGCCCGGCTCCCCAGCGCGTGCTCCCTGGGAGCACCACTGCTCCTCGACGTCATTCTGTTCTGGGGTGGGCCCAGCACTGCTGGTGCTCCTTTTCCTTCTCCCTGCTCCCCAACACCTGATCTGGTCAGGGGTGTACTGGGTCAGGAATTATTTAATCCCTAGGGCCTTGGTACCCCAGCTCTAGTGCAGGGCAGCCCGTGCTTGCGGGGTGGATCTCAAACCAGTTGGACAGGTTTGCTGCTCCCTGAAGCCGGCTGGCTCAGAGGCAGCCCTGGCAGGGCTGGGCTGAACCCCACTCCGGCTCAGGCCAGGACAGCAGGGAGCAGAGGGAGCCGGTCATGGAAGCTGCCAGCTAACCTGCCCGGGACTCCTGGAGCAGTGACAGGTGGGTCTGGGAGTAGGACAGCTGGTGGCTGGACAGGGTGGGCAACTGGGGTGGGCTGAAGGAAAGGGGGGGTCGGGACAGAGGCCTGAAGCCTGAGGGCAGCAAGGCCTGAGGCAGAGAAAGACGATGGAGAGTGGGACAGGGCTGGGGGAGGGAGTCAGAGACAGTCAGAGAGAGGCGGTAGATGCAAGGAGAGAGGACAGCAGAGACAGAGAGGAGAGAGACAGAAAGACAGAGTGTGGGGAGGAAAGTGGATGAGAGGCGGAGTGCACCCACTCAGTTTGGAGGGAGCTGGGGGGCCCTACTGCTCCGGGCCCAGGCGCAGTATCCCTGCCTGTCCAGTGGGTAGGGACCCGTAGGCTGAGTGGGCCAGAGAGGAGAGGCTGGGAAGGCTCTGGGAAGGCAGGAGCGGAGGAGAGGGGAGTGGGAGGCAGGAGCTGAGCCGTGGGCTGGGGGCAGTGAGGGGAAGTAGGTGGGGAAAGGAGAAGTGGTGACCCAGGCCCAGCGGGCAGGGAGGAGGTGCTGCTGCTGCTGGGGAACACTGGGGCTTTCCAGAATGTGGAGAAACAGGAAGTGGGTGCTTCCCACCCACTTGGGCTGGGACCGGGGCCCACCTGCCTGCCTCACCTGTCCAGGTCTGGGAAGGTGGACTGAGGCCCCTTCCACACCCCAGGCTCCTTCTCCCTGGGCGCCTGCCTCAGTCTCCCCAACTGCAAGGTGGGCACAGCCCCAGAAAGAGACCCCCGGAGGGAATCTGAGGCTGGAAGTGGGGACACCTCAGGGTAGCGTTTCCCAGGAGGGAAACCACAGCTGGCTGGGTACCTCCTCAGTGGCAGCGCCCAGCCTGGGGAACCGAGGACAGCCCAGGGTGGCTGTCAGGGCGGTCTGCAGTTTTCTGCTGGCTGAAACAACTGAAGCAGGGTGCCCCTTGTCCGCGGCCTCTCCTGCTTGTGTGTCAGTGTGATGAGCAGATCCCGGTCAGCAGGCAGAAACTCTGAGGCCCAGAGAGAGGGTCTCTCCCTGGCCTTGCTCCTGTGACCCCATTTCTCTGCAGTTTCCCACGCTGGGTTGCTTAATTTCACCAGTGAAAATACAGGATCCCTGTATTTGTCATGGGTGACCTGTGAGATCTGAATTCCAGACAGAAGATATGCTTCTTTAGTAGAAGTATACAGTCCAGTATTGTAGGAGACAGTAACACTAGAAAGTCATTCTTGCTTACCACTAACTCCTATTTAGCGCTCTGTTACCTGGCAGCCCGAAGCTCCCAAGTGCCCTGGCATGCAATGAGAGCACAGGAGGGCGTGAGAGAGGAAGGTCTCTGATATCAAACTAAGCCTATCAGACACGCCTGGCTTTCTGTGAGCTCTGCCCCAGCTGGAAGAGAGGGAGCCTCTGAATATCAGTCATTCCCCTCCCCTGCCCTGAGGGGGTGCCCTCTGCAGCCTGAGCTGTTCAGGGCTCTACCCCGCTTCTGCATCTGTGTTGTGAAAAACCCTGTCTCTCTGACCAGTAACCTCAGTCTTTATTCCACCACCATCACTGAATGCTGACTTGGGTGTCTTTGTGGACTTTTCCAAGGGGCACCTGGAAATGTCCAGAAGGCCAAACAGTAGGCGTGGCTCATTTAGCTACCGAATCATCTAGGCAACAGCTGCTGTATTGTCTCTCTCTTTTAAGGCACAGAGAGGTTAAGTAACTTTCCAGGGGTCCCCACGGCGTGTAAGTAGAACTACTCCAGGGGCCTGGCCTGAGCCTCTAGCTTGGGCTGTGTGCTTTCTGCTTCCCTAGGCCGCCTCCTCTCGCAATTCCTTGGAAATTCCCTAATCTGACTAATTCCCTAGACATCCCCAGATCTGGCAGGTTCCTTCAGGCGGAGATGACTAGTCTACCGTCCCTGGGCAAGGTGCCCCCACTTGAGGCAAAATTACCCATACAGGCATTGTGGTCTTCTGAGGTGGATGGGTCAGAGGTTGAGTGCAGTCCCCACAGCTCCCCCACTCTGGGGCTTGTCTGGCGGCCTTAGGCGGGCCACTGAGCAGTTCTGCTTTAGCTCCCCACAGACAAAACACAGGCGTTACTCGTCCCACGTCGGGCGGCTGTGGTGAGGACAGGGCAGGCTTTGAGGGTGTGACCTGGGACCTTGCTTAGGTCTGTGAGCCCAGGGTCCCCACATTTGTTTTAATGTTGGGTTGTTGCTGTATTGAAAGTTGACTTGTTTTTAAAGATTTTATTTATTTATTTA